CAGTGGGAGGGCTAGGTAGGCTGCAGCAAAATAAAAGCCCACATATTTTTCTGGCAATGATTAGGTTGAAACGTTATTTCCTTGTAACCCCGTGTCGATCAATTAATCCGCACTCTTACATGTTTCTCTTCGTAGCTTTGAGTGGGAAATTTGTTCTTGCTTCCATTTCTCCAACTTGTCGCCCCCCAGAGTACATGTACACTTGAGCATTCATGACATATGCTCTACAGTATTGCATGGACTTTTTGGGGGTAAAACCTATAGCTCATATTGCCTGCATCACCTGATCCCTAGTGTGCTTGGACGTATAAGCGTGAAATACTTTTAGGGTTTACGCAACCAAGTTGCCCGAGCAAGTTGTCGATTCAGATTGGGTTTGTTCTTTAACTTGTCCCTTTGTTCATTGTGATATGCCTACATCGTAATAATTTATGTTGTGCTTTAACTCCTAATAAAATACAAGAATGCTCATGCATATGCGCAAATTGATTTTCTATGTTTATAGACCCCCTACCGCAGAAAGAACTGCAATCCAAGAAGTGTAGTGGAATGATTGAGTGCAGTACTCACAATGCAGTCAGATGAATGAGATTCCCAATGAGCTCCGGCACGCTTCCTGATGTTCGAGTGCTCGCCACGTCCCTGTATCACAGAGACTAGAACAGCAGAATCCATGCTTAGGCTCTTCATTTTCATCACCTTGCAGCATGATTTGCCAATCATTGACATGTTTGCAGAGTTTAATTATGGCTGGTTAATCCCACCATTGTGGAGCCTTACAGGAGCAGCATGGAACGTCGCTTCTTACAGTTTGACCACGTGGTTCTGAGCGTCACATGTGATGTGCTTCATGTTGGCACATCGGGCGTCCTTGCTCCACGTGCCCTCCCCATCATATCCGTGCCATGCATCCGTGAGTGCTTCTAAGGCAAGCCCTGGAAACGGCGGAGGGAGAAATTGGACAATGGGAAAGGAATGGAAGGTGTCACAGGGCAACTCAAAAGACGAGAGATCATCAGTCATGTGTTATACTGCAGCGTCTGTGCCACGACGGCGGAAACAAATAAGAGAACGAGGCGCGGCATCCACAAACAGAGTTAGAAACGCAGACGACCTAGCCTTACACTCCGACTCAGAAAGGACGGCATCGCAGGCTGCTGGGGCAGCCCCTCTTGTGAAGCCTGCCCCACACGAACACGTGGCGGCGCCAGTGGGCTGCCCTCCCTCTCAGAAGCAGTAGCTGCGGCCAGCACAGGGCGGGTGGAGGCGGGAGAGAGGCCACAGAAGGCAGTGCACTGCAGGGTGGGCCGCTGGGGTGAGGCAGGCTGCAGGGGACAGCCTTGGCGGGGAAGCAGTTGCCCCCCACGCACAACTTTAAGGACTTCCACTTGAACTTGGGAAGAGTGCCAGAGTGCAGGTAGTTGTAGTTGACAGACCTGCATGCAGAGGTGGTTGAAAGGTGCGAGGCACCATCGTGGGTGCTTGTCACTGGTGATGGTCACGCTTGGTGTTGGAATGGTAAGAGCAGCAGTAGCACCCAGCTCGAACAACACTTTGTAGACGACAACCCTTGTCATCACGTCAACTACGACAGTGGCAACCCTTTGGAAGGCAAGGGTTATTATTGCTGGTATGCGCTTCTTACAGAAATGGAGGAGCTTGAGGCTGGAGACAGAGGGAAGAATTGGACCGGACAGCTGGTTGAACGATAGGTCACTGCAAGGCGGTCAAGTTTGTGTGAGGTTTAAACTAGTGGCTGTTTCTGGTCATATCAGGGAGCATAGGAAATAAAAAGGATGGAGAGCAAGGCAATGGCAATGGCAATGGCAATGGCAATGGCAATGGCAATGGCAATGGCAATGGCAAGGGCAATGGCAATGACAATGACAATGGCAATGGCAATGGCAATGGCAATGGCAATGACAATGACAATTACAATTATAGTTACAGGACTGCAAGCCCTCTTACAGAGTCTGAATGTTGCGCAGGCGAATGAAAGAAGGGATCACGCCTGAGAATGAGTTTTTTGACAGATTCCTGCAAGGAAGTATAGCAGAAAGGGGTTGGGGATGAGAAGCGGTCAGGGATAAATGAGAGAGTGGGGTGCCATTTGTACAGAATAGAAAAGCCAAACACTCGATGGCCCTTTTTGACACAGCCATATAAGTCGGAGTTGTACTGCAAAACAACTTAGTCAACACAGATGCATGTTATTTTCCTCAACAAAGGAACTGAACGCAGCTTTGAGAAACGAGAACGATTAGGATTCTGATAAAAGATTTTGTATTAGGACTGTCGCGTGGTTTTCTCTACTTAACACTAGATTGGTATAAAGCAGAATGCACAAGACGTACAAGTGTGTGAGGCGAGTGAGGGACATGAGCGTGGAGGGGATAGTTCCAGGCAGCCCCTGATTCGAAAAGTCACTGGGGCAGTGGGGAAAGAGTGAAGCTTGTACAGGGGAATCTGAGAAGTGTGTGCAGAGGAGATGTAGAATATGCCACACATACACAAACAATGTTGCCAATTCAGCACCCATTACATCTGAAACATGTGAAACCACACCGCCCACAGCACTCACAGTTTGACAATGAAGCTGTCAGCGTCGAGAGTGACAAAGCACATGAGCGAGGATACAGTCTCGGATTGCCACTGCTCGTTGGGGCCGCTGCCCCACAGCACCAGCAGGTCCTTCAGCACTTGGGCTGAGGGAGGCACGTGTTTGGATGAGGACCCATGAAGAATGGTGGAGCACAGGTTTGATTGGCATCACACATGAGTGAAAAGCGGGTTAGTATCATGCTCAGGTTTCAAGTATTTTTGTTTGTGCATGACAGCAACAGGAGGTGTGACTAGTGTAAACAAGCCATCTCTCACATTCTTATTGGTTCTGTTTGGTTGATGTTTAGTGTTCCAGTGTTGTTTGTGTTTATGGGTTACTGAAAAGGACTGGTATGTGGACGTCCTCTACATCTCATCAGGCTTTTGCATGCTCGGCTTCTAAGAATTCTTGTTGCCATTCTCCATTCAAGACGCACCTTGGGAGCTCTCCATGAGAGGAACACACGATGTCGCACTGGACCCACGCGTATAGCCATTTGAGCAGCTGCACTCCCTAAATTCGAAGTAATCCGCTGGGCCCTGCCCATAGCAATACCCACGGCCACCGCATGGAGGGGTGGAGGGCCCTTCCATTCCACAGAAACCAGAGCAGTCTGCCCTTTGCTCGTCGTCCAAGAGGCACGGGACATCGTTGGGAGCAAAACAATTACTCGCGATAGAAATGGTGGCCTGAACGCACACTCTTCCGACTAAGAATCCTGAAACGAAATAGTTGTTTCGTAGTTTCCTGCACAGGGTGAGAAGAGAATGGAAAGAAACAGTGGATGTTCTGCTTTCTCAAACGTTGTGAATGGATGCGTGGGCTTACAAGAACTGTGTGCATCCATAGGCACGACATGCGCATGTGCACTCACAGGGTCCTCAGCCCCTTCATGCCAGCCAATAGTGGAAGGGCTCCCGAGAAGTAGTTGTAGGAGAGGTCTCTGCAGTGGCGCATACGTCACGCGACAAGGGTGCAAAGACCGTCACGCACTGGAAGCCGAACCATCGTTGACGCAACATGCCCCATGAATGAATCGCTCTTAACTTGGCAATACTATAATACGACGTATACTGACGAGGGCCCTCCTCCCCTATGCACGCTGTGGACACAGTCATCTTGGTCGCTGGTACTAGGGATAGCTGGTGGGTGTGGCAAGCCCTGGAATACCCATGACACCCAAGTGTGTGTTGGCAGACAATCCAACACCTGGCAGCGCAGCGCAGCTCAACCGTGTCACTTGGGAGTCAACCTGGTGGACGAGGCAAGCAGCCCCCTTGGCAAAGGCAATGAAGCCGAGGGCAATGCTCGCGCAATGAAACTGGGTTAGTGGGGATCAGCTCAGCAAATCCCAGCCACCCTACACCTTGCTGCTGTTGCAAGGTGAACCTTGGCCTTGATGGAAGTTGGTTTGCGATAATAACCAAAACACTTCCCAAACCATCTACCCTGCAATTGAAATGACTTGAAACCCCTTCTTATGACTATCCAAGCACGATGCACCACTGAAACGCGAGGCAACACACCCGAGGCCATCACCCGGGACCCTCCGGTCGTGATGCCAGCAGCAAGATGCCACCAGGCTCTTACACTCTTATTCATGTGCTTCGGGTACTTTCCCCAAACTCACACATGAGATAGGCAGGCTGAGGCCGGCATGTCAGGGAAAGGGCCAGAGAACATGTTGTCAGCAAGATTCCTGGGGTGGATTGAGGAGCAGAAAGGGAAATGTGCTTGAATCAAACGACACAACCAAATGAGGAAAACTAATGCTTGAATCACTTTACATGCTGCTGCATATCTAAGCCCTGTGCACAAAGGCATGAGCATTGGTCCGGCCTGCCCAGCCCGGCCCGTTTCAGGGTGGAACGACTGTAGGTAGGATGGTCCGGCCCGTGCCGGGCCATGGTTGGGGCGACTTTGGCAAAACGCCTGTCCCGGCCCAGGTTTAGGGGGTTGGGCCAGCATTGGCCCAGGGGCGGCCCCGGGCTAGGCTGCCTAAGCATAGGCCGAGTTTTTGGGGACAGCCTAAGCGTGCCCGTGTTTTTCCGTGCCGGGCCAAGCTGGCTCTTCTGGGCCTTTTGCCAGGCTCGCCCGTATTCCAATGGAAAAATCGCACACATTTCAAGGACAAGCTCAAAAGTTTTCGAATGCAAGGTCACGAATGCTTCAAAGACAAGCTCACAGGTATTCCAGCGACACCAGCCGAGCTAGAGAAGGAACAGTCCCCCCAAAATGATATTGCTGGTGGAGTTCTCTGCAAGGGTTTGATCCATAAAGAGCACACATGTACATGTATGGTTGGGAAACAGTTCAGACATAAATAAAGGTTACAAATGCTTGGTTGGCGCCGTAGGAAGGATTGCACATGTGCATCTTTTTACTTGTGCTGCCGACTGGTGGGATGGGTTTAGGGCACCTCCAAACATCATTCAGTCATGATGCCCCCCTAGCCCAACTAGCCTGCCAGTGGCAGGTCGCCAATGGAGATTCTGCTGGACTCCCATCTCAACCATCAATCTGTCTGAGTGCCTTCTTTCCCGATCAATCAATTTACTTCTTTTCTGGCATGCGTACCCCAAGCTATGAGTTTTTGTTGACCTACCACATTTGATTGCCCGGATTGTGTTGGCATTTGCAACGGTATCCAAGGTTTCCTTCGTGCAGATAGACATTATCCAATGCCATGAAGCTACGAGTGATTGCGAGTGAGTCAGCCCAGCCAACATGTGGTCCCAATGATCCTGGCATTCCAACCATACCTGCTATGCTCTTCTACCAGCATGCAACGCCACCGCTGAAGAGGCCCTATGAGCTTACAGGTGCTTGAGCTGCGTCATCTTGGAGATTTGTGGCGGAATCGACCCGCTAAGCTCGATTGAGCTGATGGCTCTGTAGGAAATAAAATAATGTAATATTGCCGTGGGAAATCTTATGATGATGGGTACATTGGAAGAAGGATGGATTGCGAGAAACCATTCACGTCCACCCAAAGCGTACAATTTGGTGAGTCGTGGCAGGGAGAAGATCCCTGCTGGAATACTTCCAACAGCAAAAAGATACGAGAGCTCTCTGCAACCCCCGATAGATAGAGCGAGAGAGAGAGAGAGAGAGAGAGAGAGAGAGAGAGAGAGAGAGAGAGAGAGAGAGAGAGAGAGAGAGAGAGAGAGAGAGAGAGGGGGGGGGGGGGGGGGGGGGAAAGGAAGAGACACAGTGGCATAGGACACACAAAACAAGTAGAGGTTGTGCATTCTAGTTCCCAGTTTGATGCCCATACGAGTTCTATTCAGTTTATTTCCTCATAGCATCATGATGGTCATGGTGCACTTCATTACTGCAGCTTGCGTCCACTCAAATCCATCAACTTTGAGGTGTATTCACAGGGCCAGAACTTGTGCGCCAGCAACGAGAAAAGCAAGATAGTGCAGTGGTGCTCAACAGTTTGGAAAACCGACCAAGATGCTCACTCAGGAGGATCGCAAGGGAATAGAGCATAAATGATGAGGCAAATGAGGGAGGTAGTAGTTGTGAGCATCCTCTTACAGCTGTACGAGGTTGGTTAACTGACTAATTTGCGGCGGAATGGAACAGTAAAAGTGAGTGACACCTTTAACGATCCTGTGGAGGGGGGAGGGGCGCATGATGGGTTGGACAGAGGAAGGGAGCAAACGCACGGTGCTGGCGGCCGAACCCTCAGCCCAGACAGCCCATCCTCCTTGGGGCTCTGCTCGCGTTGTGGCACATGCGCTGCTCCGTACAAGGCAGTGCACCAACAAGCAAGACAAGGTACGAGCCTCGGGCTGCAAGAGCACATCACTGTTGCAAAAATAGCAGACGCTGATCCTGTTGTTCAGCATGCAGGCATGAGGCATGTTGTATCTTATGCATGTCGCATGAGGCTCAACATTCTACAGTTGCAGACACGCAAGTGTGTGTATGACACGCAAGTGTGTGTATGACACGCAAGTGTGTGTATGACACGCAACAGGGATGCACACGTGAGATTAACCCTAATGAACCACATGAAGAAAATCATACGTAAGAATGCCTATCTGAAGCAAACTTAAATAGGCAGAATTGCTCGCAAACGTACCCAGGCACTAAGGAGTCTGAGATGCACAAAAACACAATACGCAAAATCTGAGACACCTCCGGCCAATAAGGGACACATATATGACAGAGAGCCTGTCTAGGCTTCCAATAGTTGTCGGGAAGCTGGAAAATACGAAATGGTACTGGAACTCTCTGTGAGGAACAGGGATGACGATGGGTAACGAGAGTGTAAGAAACTAAACACACACATACATAGACACGTGCCCGGACGCACACACACAAATGCATCTACACCAACAAAATAGCAGCATTAGTATCACCCAGACCCAACATGTGGGTCGTTATCAGTGGGCAAAGCACTGGGGGACTCACAGTCGTGTGATCATGCCATCATTGTCACACGTTAACAACTCGGCTGTCCCGCAGTCATCCCCGTCCTGCCAGCCATAGAATGTGATACCATCGTCATACCCCCACCATCTGATGTCTGCGAGGAATGGCACTGACAGAAGGCAGGGTAGAGGGGGGAACATGAGTGGCGAGATGCATGCTAAGGAGCAAGCATTCTCAGAGGATTTATAGTGGACCATATTTATGAGGCTTCCATGTATCGATACCCATACCCATTGGCAGTCAATTTAGCGTGAGTAGTGGACTGAAGTTTCTGCTCACTGACCATATGTAAATCTTGGAAAGGATTCATTATAGAGAGGCTGCACCCGTGGTTGAGTGTGTTATGTCGTTCTATGTTGTGCTATGATTTCCCTAGTACTAGCTGAAGAAAAACAGCAAACATGTGACCCCCTGCCAGTGTATAATGGATCTCTAGCTTAGAACGTGTCGCAAGTGTTATTTTAGCGGATGACAACGGATGACAGAATAGATCTCAATCGTTGTCATCCGTTCAGACGGATGACAACGGACGCGATTTGTTCTGTCATCCGCTAAAATAACACTTTGGACACGTTTTTATACTGCTGCGGCTTCCTTCCACTGGATCATATGCTGCTAAGATGTCTTGTCGTTAACAACAACATGATGTTACCATCTTCCCAACTGTTTTCCACGATACGATGAAGAGCATTACATTGAGAAGGGTGCCACGGGACACCAGCGATGGCGGTGGCGAGAAGAAGAGTCCCCAGCAGCGCTGCCGCCAAGCCACCAACGGATTTGCTTCGCCGCCTGCACACTCGATCGAAATCTCGCAATTTGCAACGCGAAGTAGCGAATCATGGCAAATCAAACAAGGTGACTTCCAGCCCGTAGAAAGTCGGATTTTCTCACCCTTGGGTGGACCCTGAACGCGTGAAGATCCGCCATTCATGGAAGTCATTCTCGTTCATCCTTTCCCTCGTCGCGTTCTTTGCAATCGACGGGATGTAGTGCTGAGATAGGAACCCTTGCTGGCGAAGAGACGACAGCCTGCAAAACGCAAATCGCTGGTTTGGGATACGAGCAGTAGTCTTTGCTGGGTGGGCCAACTTCGATTTCCCTCACATTATGCCCGGAACCCGATTCAAGTAGGCTCAATTTTGTAATCTAGGCTAGAGTACAGCAGAATTTTGTCTCGAAATGTTGTGGCAGATAGAACCCTCGGGGTTACGTCCCGCCCTTGACGCACATGGCACATGACCTTTCCGCATTGCGTCAGCAGCAGATTCAGCTGGAGGGGTGGCCTGGATTCATTTCAGCGAGGGGCGGGTGAAGCTTATCCGAAACTTATGCCCCTGATTCATTTGAAGCATCAAATATTCTTTATGGGTACGTTTCAGATTATTTGGTACTTTCACGGGCTGTTGTGGACGCGGAACACTCTTCAAACAGATTCGGTTATCTCCGAACCCGTCGGTTACGGGAAAACAATCGGCTTGAGAACGGGTTGAAAGTCGGATTTTTTTAGCGGATTTTTTTTTGCCGAAAATGGACACTCACTTGCACGAGATCGCCTGAAATGGACTTTAATGGGCGGAACCCAGATGCGACAACTGTTAGAAATAGACGGCAAATACCACTTTTGTATTTGTACTTTTATATCCTAGTTTAGGTTATGAATGTTCTAGTGGGTTGGGGTGTACTCACAAATCCCAACCTCACCCAATTGTAATCCCCCAATCTCCAATTACCCAATTGGAGATTCCGGAGATCTCAATGGGGATTCCCTCCAATTCCCCCTTCATCCATTCACTCTCACCTTGCCATGTACTTATAGAGCCTTGGGCTCCTTACCTAATCAATCATTTCAACTCTTTTTCTTACATGGTATCAGAGCGACCTATCCGCACACGCGGATCAAGGTCCTAATCTCAACGTGCCCGCGCTACGCGCACTTCATCGTCGCGACATTCGTTTCCAGTCGTCGGAATTTCGACATGCTCCACTCTGCAGTCGCGCCTCTCATTGTCGACCGCCTTCGCGCTCGACCTCGTTGAATTTCTCATCTCTGAAGCTTTCATGCTTCTCATCGTCGATTTCCTCCTCGGTTCTCCTTGCTCGAATCTCAATTTCGACCATCTCTTAAAACTCGTTCTCGAGTTTCCCCTCAGACCCCGCCAGAATAGGCGAACTCCCCTCGCGAAATCGCCTCCACGAACCTCTCGTGTCAAATCAAGAGCAGGTACACAGGTTGAAGCGGAGCGGAGCTGGTTGCGGAGCTGGTTGCGGAGCTGTGTAGCTACGGGACAGGGCTTGGGGGTGTGTGGGGGGGTGTGTGGGTCCGGGGTTAGAAATAGGCTCAGATTCAGTTTCAAGTCGGCGTTTTAACGAATTTTCGCCGACGCCATTTCCTACTTAGCGGCATTTTGATACAGCCGTCAGAGTGATTTTCAGCAATTCTCGTCGACCAATTTCCAGAAGTGCCGCGCTGCACACCGACAATGGCTTACTCAACCACTTCACTCGCCAACCCGATCCCGCTCCTTCGTCTCGAGCCAGACGGCACATGCTCCAACTACAAGGCTTGGCGCTATGGTGTCGACAAGCACCTCCTCAGTCGCGAGGTGAAGGGGCTCGAGCTCACCGACGTCCTTCTCAACATCGGTGACGACAAAGAGCCTCCTAAACCCGAGAGGTCCGCCGATCCAGCTAATGCCGGCGCCGAAGCAGTTTATGCTGCTGCACTGCTCAAGTACAAGAATTGGGAGAAGGCCGATGGTGCGGTCATTAGTATCTTCATGGGCACCACTCCTCCCGAACTCGTCGAAACCTACCACAACTACCCGTCTGCCAACGCCATTTGGCTCTACCTCGAAGATCGCTTCCTGAACAAGACTGCAGTGGGAGTTGCTATACTCATCCCCAGCATGTTCCAAGAGCGGCTCGAGGACTCGCCAAGCATGGCGGACTATGTCACCAAGGTGCAGTCCATTCATGGTGAACTCAAAAAGTTGGGGATAGTCTTCCCCGAGCAAGCCCCTGCAGCCGCTCTCCTAGTAGGTCTCACTCCGGCATACGAAGTCACACGCAAGATGCTCTTGGGCCTTGCTCCTGCAGACCTCACATTTGCCAAGGTCTCATCCGCGCTCCTTTCTGCCGAAAAGGACAACAGCGCTCAAGCCAAGGCCAATGCAATCCGCACTCCCGTGCCTCAAGCCTATGCCGCTTCGGCGCCATTCCAGCGCAACCGCTTCCCCTCGTGTCCCTACGTCATCAAGCGCAGCCCTCGTGCTGGCCAGGTGTGTGGCAGCACCAACCACGCCCTTGCCTCCTTCTTCAAGAAAAAGGATGACGAGTGGTATGCCGTCAATGGGACCGCCTCCAAACCGCCAAGCTGGATGGTCAATCGTGCTCCTCGCCAAGTCAATCAAGTCGAAGCGCAGGAATCCGTGCAGGCTGCTGTGGCTGCACCTGCTATTGTGCGCCTCAACATGTTGTTCCCTGGCACTGCCATGATTAATGAGACGATTTCGCAGTATCCTGGCTCACAAAGAACCTCAGCTACAATAGAGTTCACCCTCGACAGTAGGGGCACTCACACGGTTCTCAAGGAACAACACTCCTTCAAGCCATACGAGACACCAATCCGTCTACTTGGAGCAGACTCCAGTTTCACAACACACGCCAAGGGCTCCTCCACAGTTCCGTGCCCAGCTTTTCCTTCGGGCAGTGTGACTGGCATGTGTGTTCCCACACTACGCCACAATCTCGTGGCCCAACACGAGCTCCAACGGGCAGGCGTCACCACAATCTTCCCAGC